ATATATATATTTATTTTTTGTTGCAGTTCGAATGTATTGTGATGTAATACTACAATATGGTCACTAGATGGAGCTGAAGAGCATAGGAAATAAATACTTATTACCTCCTTCTGTTTTTCCTCTCTCACTTCCCCTATGACTCCTTCCTTCCTTTTCTTCTTCATCCTCCTCTTCCATCTTCTTGTTAACTTTGCTCTCTTTACTCTTCAGCTTTCCTTGCAAACTTGTTCTTTCTATGAAAACTGATGTATGTCTTACTACCGGTATGTGTAGTTAATTGATGCAGGTTCAGAAACTTGCTTCTTCGTTTTGAATGCCCCCCCCCATATTTATATCCAGGGACTTATTATTAAAGGGTGTTCATTCTACTGTTTCCACATACTGTATGTTCCTCCTGGACATGCCTGTCTCTGTGTGACTGTATTATGTATCTACCTTCATTATTGAGTTATATAAAAAGTAAATAGATATAAAAGTAGTAGAAATAGATAGAAGAGAAGAAGCAATGTAAAAAACAATACTTACTACCTATGCTCATCAGCTCTATCTAGTGGCCAAAATGTAATATCACATCACAATACATTTGAACTGGAAAAACAAACAAACATTAAGAACGTTTGATTTTGCCATTATTCACCCAAAATGAATGTACACTGATAGCCACAGGGCAAAGGGCCCTGAAGATTGTTTATAAATGGACCCCTTAAAGTGGCTGATTCGGTAAACAGGGCAATGATGATGTGAAAGGTGCAATGACACATTTCTGGCAATTCAATTTCCCTTTAGTAGAACCAGTCAGTAAAGAGAAGGGTTCTGATTGGCTGCTGGGGTGGGTCACTGCACTTTGCACATCTACTTTGATGCTCCCATTGCTTTTTTTGGAGTAAACCCTAATCGTGGTCGTAATTTGAAATGAATGGAAATAAATCTTTGCCCTCAGTTTACAGTCTGTTAGGGAGTAATGATAAGTCAACACTGGCCTTAAACTAAGACAATACAGGGACTCATATACACACACACGCATGCACGCACGCACACACACACACACGCACACAGACACAAAAGGTTTGAACTAGCTGGACCTGTGTCTTTATTCAACCTCAAATACTACGTAACTATGTAACAAATGTCTCTGACTTGACCTTCTCCCTGTGAGGAGGTTTTTCCTTTCCCCTGGTGAACAATTGCAATTCATATTCATTTAAATGTTTTCTCTACAAAGTTTTGGTGCTTTAAAATCTGTTATAAATTATGGATGGAGTCATGGAGTGTTTTTCAAGTGAAACATTTTTAAATTTAATAAACCTGCTAAAGATATATTTGCATCTAAACATCCCATACATGTAGTTACATTTTTAGAAAAACAACAACCTTTCCACCTTCCATGGCTGACCTCTCCTACTGAAAGTGCAGATCCTTCCAGCACCTGGCATTGCGCCATAGCTGTCCTGTCCGAAAGCATAGTGCCAGCAGGGACATCATCTGGAAACCCCAAAGAAGGAAGCCAGTGGCACGCCGTGACACCCTTTGTAGATGCAACTTAAAGGCGAACTATAAGGCGAGTGATTTCCACTCATCCTCATAGTTAGAGCCGACCTGTGACAAAGAAGCTGTCACACATCGGCTCTATTGATCGGGAAGTGAGCAGAAACATGCCGCAGGTCTGATCACTTCCCGATAGTCTCCATGCAGTGATCGGTGACTGTCAGTCACAGCTCCCCGCAGGGTATCCCCCCTCCCCTCTTCGATTCTCCAGCGCTGAGTGGAGGAACAAACGTCGGTGGGGGGGGGGGGGGGC